CTTTGTTTTGGTCAATTTGATCGTCCACACCGATAGACAGTATTCAGAAAGAGACAGAGAGAGAGAGAAGAGGGGAGGAGTAGATCTTGCGAGAACTTCCGGGCGGGTGAGAATAGCCACTTTCTTGCTAACACGGGACCGCAATTGTACAGGAGTGCAAGGGATAGGGCTGAACATTTGCAATTTATCCCCCTCCTGACATGCATGTCTTTATCCTGTAGCCTAAAATTGACCCTATCCCCTCTTTTGGCTTTCCCAAGGACCCAAATTTGACATAGAGGATCTAAGATTTAACAACAGAAAAACCAGTGAACAGCAAATAAACCATTTAGAACCACAGTAACAAAGGCATAGCCACCTATTATCGATAATCCCAGTCGCAATGCAACAAAACTCACCAGTCTTCTTTGGGACGCTTTCTCTTTAGTCCAGGTTGAACCTCCAAAGTTTCATGAGTTGAACTCGAGAAAAACAATCGCAAATTTTCAGAAAGTGATTTCAACATTGGTGAAATTTGATATTGCAGCTCAACACTCGAACGCAAGATGAGAAGCGCCACGGAAGTACAGTAGAAATAATTAACCACCTTCTTACACAGAAGAGCTGAAGTCTGCTGGACGCTGGAGGAGATAAAAAAAGTTGAAACTCGGTCGGCACAGTTCAGAAGGCAAAAGTCAGAGGTCATCAGCTCCTGCACTGACTGACAAAGTCCGACTGCATTGTGCACGAAACGACAGCTGAGCTGATAACTGATAAACAAAAGTTGAGGGCCTGTTACTGTCATAACTTTAGAGCCTCGGCTACATACTATGTTGAGGGTCATAATGGGGAATTCATTAGCAAAGAGTGTTGCAATTGATTTTGGAATCCAGTGGGCCTGCTGGGTGGTAGCTGCAGTTTTAAAAACAGAAAAGTTTTACGATCTTGCTGGTAAGTTGAACAGTTTAAGTTTAGCCTCACTTGCACTAGATCTAGAATCTAGATCTAGCTAGATCTAGATCTAGATATAGATCTATATTCTAGATCTATTCTAGATCTAGATCTAGATCTAGATTTAGATCTAGGTCTAGAATCTAGATCTAGAATCTAGCTAGATTTAGAATCTAGATCTAGACTAGATTATCTATATTCTAGATCTAATCTAGATCTATCTAGATTTCTAGATCTAGATTTTCTAAACCTACAAGTTACATAATCCCAACATTGGTTTGGTGACACTGACTCACTGACAAAGAACCTGGAAATTGTTTGCAGTTGCCCGCATTGCAGGCCAACCAAGCTCACCTGTCAATCACTGAGGCTGGCTGGATTATTAGATCTAGAATCTAGATATATAGAATCTAGATCTACATCTAGATCTAGATCTAGATCTATATCTATATCTATATCTAGATCTAGATCTAGATCTAGATTAAATCAATTTCATTTGCAGTTTTGGTTGAGATAAGGGAAAAAATTTCAAAGCATCCACATATTTATTTTAAGTCAATTCAATGTAGATAGACTAGGCCTAGATCTATAGGCCTATTCTTATTTGAAGTGACTATTTCTCAGAACGTTAGGAAAATAAACTTGAACTCTATTCTCCTAACAGTTTCCGTTCTCGAGATTTTTTTTGTTATTTGCGAGATTTAGGCGTCATCTTTCATTCTGCCATTCTGTGAGGACTCGGAAGAAGCAATTTTTTTGCATCGAATTCAATTTCTAGAGTAGAGATCTCAGATTTTTTAATGTGTGAATACAAAGATACTTCAGTTGTGGTTAGGGCAACGTTCCCCGACTATACTTCATTTGAAAATGCCTTCAAAAGGTACTGCGAGAAAACAAGACTGATATCGACCTTGGCAATAACCTATTTTGCGTTTAGTCACCCAGCAAAAACTAAAATCTTTCATGTAAACAAAACAAAAATCCCTCCACGCCCGCCCCCACGCCCCGTTCACACCTTTTACACACACACACACACACACATACACACGCTAGGGCTGGGTCACGAGGGCGAGAACGGAACTGAACCGTCACTCTTTCCTGCGGAATGCGATTCACTTCAGTGGAACGCGGAACAGTATCGCCAAACGATTCCCGATTCACTCTCCTGTCACTGTCACCACCTTGTGGCTTGTTTAACCTACTGCTGAGTCGAGTCACGAGCGCAAGAACGGAACGGAACACTTAGTATGGCTCCCCTTATTTTACAAAAGATGGTATAGTCCGACCCCCCTATTAAAACAAAATGAACGGGGTCCAACCAATAGACAGAAGGAATTTTATGGAGCCATTGTTTTAGGGAATGGTGGGGTTGGGGGTGGGGATTTATGGGGGTCACTAATTGAGGTCAGTTGATAGAGCAGCGCAACAAAGGGTGTGGGGGTGGAGAGGATGGCGGAACACAAGAGTGGGACTCGCGCTCGCCAAGAGGCGTTGATATGACACTGTTCCGTTTCAGTCAGTGTTCCGCCACAGCTCCACGAGCGCTCGCGTACTCGCGATTCATTGAAGCCGACTGAATCGCGAATCGTCACTCTCAAATTTGACGAGCAGGATCCAGCCCTAACACACGCACACTCACACACACACACACATGCACACACGCACTCTCACTCGCACTCGCTTACTCACTTACACACACACACACACACGGGCCACTCCATTCGCAAATAACAAAAAAATCTGGAGAACGGAAACCGTTCTGAGAAATAGAGTTCAAATTTATTTTCCAGAGCGTTCGTAGAAACAGAGCCGACCATTATTATTAGGCATGGTTATTCGGACTCGAGTCTGAATAATAGCCTCCCGTGGCTATTCGGACTCACAACTCCAATGCGCGTGTGCAATCAACGGGTGTACCGGATGTGAAGCGGACTGGCAATTCAACCTTGGCCTTTCTTGGTTTCTACGATCTGGCCAAAATTTTCTACACAAATTAAGAAAAGTATTAGTGACGTCAAAAGTGAACAACAGTTGCAAAATCTGAAATACTACACAACAAAGGCAAACAAGGAAACGTTTATCTGAGATCAAAGCAGTGAAAAAAAGTTTCAGAACGACAAAGGATTATAACTCTATCAATAGGTAGTCTACAACTGCTTCATTTGCCGAGAAAGACGAAAATCTTTGATCAATTGGAAGTACAGTCAGGAATTAAGAAGAGAAAAGTTAAAACCCTTCCTAAGGGAACAAAAGTCAGTCATTCAAAGTAACAGTGGTCTAAAGGAAAAGTCTTTCCAACAATATAGATGTTCAAATAAAATCAGGACAATACAATACAGCGCATTGGAGTTTGAGCGAATAGCCACATTATTATACTGCAGTGGCTACGAGGCTATGTTCACAGAGCCCTGAAGTTTGCAATTTAAGAATGATCTTGCTCACTTCACCCCCTATCCTTTTCCCTTTTGCTTTTTCTCTTTTTCACCCCTCCCTCCCCGCCTTGGCCCATTCTTCCTATTGTTTCTTCGAACGACTTTTATTTTCAAATTGTCGAATTTTGCTGGGTCCTCACATGGGAAGAGGATCGAAGTTGTGTTCTGCTCGCTAAGCGAGCATGGTCTTGTCGACCTCGGCTGTTTTGCTGTGCCGTTTTAACCTCTGTAAACTCTGTTGCATTTGGACCACTGCTGCATTATCTTTCACGCAAGTAGTGCTGTTTTCTCTTTCACTTTGAGGGACAGTAGCATTTCTGTCGTTGCCTTTGTGCCAATGACATGGTGGATGATTCAGGGCACTGTGAATGTAGCCTGCAAACTACATTCACGGCGCCGTGAACGTAGTCACTGGGCATTATTATTATAGTAAGCTGATAAAAAGCGTTTATAGAGCCATTTTTAGACCTGTAGGCCTATATAATATATCATGATGTCTTGATGAGTGCGTGTCTGAGAAACGGGTCCGCACTTTTCAATTTTGTACGTTGCAGGTTGCAGGTTATAGTAAATGCATTTAGAATGACCTTTTCCTATAACTCTGTTTTTTTTAAAGTTGTGATATCTCACTCATAGAATATGGTCACTCGAACTGTCTTTAAAAAAATTATCTCAATAGTAAGCAAAAACAGATGACTCTATTAGGCCTACTTACTGATGGAGCCATCTAGGATCCCAAACCAGTTTGGATGCTGTAAATTTCTGGTCATGAATTTTAAGTGAATTCGACCACTTATGTTTAGTAAATTTGGCCCAGTTTTTGATAGAAGCAATAAGCAGGATGGGATCTATTCAACTAAATATGAATAGGGCCTAAGCAAATCCCCCCCCCTGGACTAATTTACATTTCTCATACCTCTGAGTCAAAGCCCCAGTCTACACTTTTGAAGCCCTTTAGTTTTTTTACCCTTCGCCTGTCAGTCCTCGTCTCAGTTTTCCATTGAAATAAGTAATACTGAGCTGGGGCCTTATACGGATGATATTATGCTTTAGACAATATCAGCTTCTTTTTTACACTGCCTTGCACTTTCAGTCCTCTGGTCAATATAATAATAATATGGATAGGAGACAATGTGCGCTCATTATAAAAGCTTGACACAAATGACTGAAGAAGATTGAAGATATGTGATTTGTCAGCCTCTACATTTGAAATGAAATTTTAAAAAGAGTAAGCATCAGGGTCAGAAATTGACTTTTAATGTCTACATGTACAGTCGAACCTGCATTTACGGAAACCTATCATAACGGAATCTCCCTGCTCCCCCCTTGATAAATTTTTCTATAATTACCTCCATAAAAGGGAAACCTAAGATGGAAAATGCTTTGCCCACTCAGCTCTGATTTGAAACAAAACGATCAAAAAGGTTCCTTTGGCCCTCTAAACTTTATGCCATGCCGCCAGGTGAGGAAGGGGAGTGGGTGCAATTTGGGGGTAGACATTCATTATTAAATATATATATATAAACAGACCAGTATTCTTGGTAAACTACAGCCTACTCTGAGGATTTCAACAACTTTATTATTCAGCTTCAAATTATCGTTGCCGTCGTGAACAAACCTCCAAAGCGCCACCGACAATAATTTACACGAGAATAAACCCCCCCCCTGATTATTTCCTTTCATTCTTAATATTTTAGGAAACTTTTCAACTTTTACAAAATATGATTCTTCACCTTCTCACATGTTGTTTGGAATAGTAAAATGAATAATTATAACGAAAAAGAACTTACAAGGTTTCTGCTCGACCTTTATTGTTGTGCACAGACCCCTTAAGCGCCAAGTGTGTTGCATACTAGGTCCATGCATGACGGGTCTGAATCGGTTATCGTCAGCTGATATTGCTTTGGTTATTTTGTTCTAAAGGAATCATTGATGATGACTTGTGTGTTTGTATGTGTGTGTGTTTGTGTGTGTGTGTATGTGTGTGTTTGTATGAGTGTTTTTCTCTTTCTCTCTCGATCTCTCTCTCTGTCAAACGCACACAGAG